ATTTTAGTTTTCATCCAGCAAACTGATATGGGGGTTTGATAGAGTGCTTAAATACAATTAATTTGGAACAAATTCCAAGTTCTTTTTATTTAATAGAGATAGAAATTGGAAGAAGAGCAAATTTGATAATTAAGGTTTGAAGAAACACTAGTTTTTTATGAGTAAACCTCGTCAAAATCTCAAATTGATTCAAATGAATTAGTTTTGGATAAAAAGTAGGTTGTTAAAAGATTTGATTAAGAATAGTTTTATTAGAAGATTTGATTAAGAATAGTTTTAGACCCAATGAACTTAGTTTTGCCTCAACATAATGTCCCACCCTCCATTCCCACCATTAACATATTGGGTTGGGGGGGGGGGGGGGGGGATTGATTTTGGAGGTTTAATAGCATTGTATGAATTGTTTATCTAAAAAACTTAAGAGAAAAAGACAACCTTGTTTTCTTTTTCACTTCTTCCCCCTCCCCCCGGTATGGTACCGGGCGACTCACTCAAGTAACCCACTGTGCCCAAGCTGACTCCGGAGGTACCAAGTTGACTCAATGGTTTTATAAACCTTGCCAATTCCAAACTTAAACGTAAACAAATGAAACTGAAAGTCCAAGAGCATAATATATCTTGGATAGATAACTTACAACGGTGATTGTTTTCAGACTTAGTTCACATTAAAACTATTGGGAATTGTGAATTTGTAAATTTGCACTTTAGAACTCCATGGGCATCGTTGCCAGCATTGCAAATGTTATGGGAAACATAAAAGAAATAAATCATATTATTATGTGTTCATCGATTTTCATGAACTATTCATTATCATTGAAATGAATCGTCAATCTTCTATAGATTATTCACAGATCTGTGAATGTATATTGTAATCTTGTATTGAAATGTTTAAAAAAAAAAGGAAATTTGTTCATAATCTTTTTTCTACTTTGGTATTTGTCCATAATTTTGATTATAATGATACAACAACATGACCTTTGAGATTGAATGTTTTGTTCGTCTTTTCCTTAGATTCATGCATTGGAGAAGAGGAAGAAGGCCGGAAAATATGCGAAGAAGATCAAATCCAAGAAGAAGAGGAAGCAGCATGAAGAAATAAAGCCGTTGGAGCCTGATGAGTTTGCAGATATATGGAAGGATAGAGGTGGACCACACTGGGTTTCAGCTCTGTGTTCTAAGTGTGCAAGGACTTTACATGTTGAAGTACTTTTGTAGGAGTACATCTATAGGTGCATTTTTGTATGGAGATATTAGATTATGGAAAAGCACCAGATAAACGTAATGTGTCTGGGTGCCTCCAGCCATCCGGTCTAAATGGATAGGTTGGAGCACTCTTATGAGATGGTCACAAAAGGTGGGAAGGCGGGCGAGTGGTTGGCAGTCTCTTGCTGAGTACCCAATCTCATGAGATTTTTGTTCAGCTTTGGTTTTTGGCGACCTCTCTCTCTCTTGCCCATTCATCGATGGATTTGAAGCGAAACCACTATTTGCTATTGAACTTTGGTTCTCTTGGCTTCACAATTATTATCTAGGAGCTCTGTCAAAGTTTCTTGTGTTTAATTAATGCCTTACAGGAGGCACAGTGGATGATTCCTTGCCTATGTAGTGACAGTATCCTCCCGAGATTTCCCTTTTCATGCAACTCCTTCAAGTTTCTGGCTTTGCTGCTTACCCCTGTTCTTCAATTATCTGACCTTTCATACTGGTACCCCTGTTCTTCAACTATCTGACCTTTCATACTGGTGGTGTTTATTCTCAAGCTAGCAGGATTCAATCAGGTGCCCTATACGGTTGCTTTTGTGCCTTCACTGTCTCGGCTAGCTTTTTTTTATCTTTTTCGTTTTCTTTTTTTTCTCCCCCTTTCTTCTCACTAATTACCTTCTCCCTTTCTTTAGGTTTTTCTCCTCTCTCTGGTTTTCAGCCATTTCCTCATCGATAATTGATCAATGATGGGTCACAAGAGAGATGCGCAGCGAAAAATCAGAGGGTTTCAGAAATGCATGAGATGGGCTACAGGCTTTTTGTGACATCGTCACTAGAGCACTCCAAACCAATACTACCAGCCATCTCTCAGACCACATAGGTGCCTATCTTTTATGTATGGCTTTGGACGGGTAGAAAGTTTCTCTTCGAGAATGGGAGTAGTAAACCGTTGAGAATTTGAGCCTTGTGCTGTATTACAATAAGCCAAGTGTCACTTCAAAACTCAAGGAAATTGCATTTTTGACGTTAGAGAACTTTCAAATCATCCTTAGCATTGACCATTATGTTTGTGAGAAAATAAATTGGGGTTTCAAGCTCAGAAAAACTGTATATTGTAATAAGGTTGCAACCTTAAATAATCCAATTAGGCACGCCTCTAAATATTATCATAACATGATTTTGGGGTAAAAAATTATCAGGATTATCTTAAAATCTATCTTCATATTTAACTATAAAATTTAAAATTCTAAAAATGGTTAAAATCAAGTAGATCTATAATCTTGAAAATGGATTGTCTAGATAATGTGTTACAAGATGCATTATTTTTTAGACGTATAATATTTTATATTTATTTATTCAAATGAGATTATCAATTAGAGGGTTTTTCAACATTAAAATAACTTTTTTCGATAGATTTTTGAGGTGCATTTGTAATTTTACATTTAAAGGTTACAATTTTATATAAATGTTTTCCTTATTAAAAAGAAAATTGTTTTATACCGGTTGGATCGCATTGTTACATATGCAGTCCATAAGCATAAAGCATCCATCTTTAAAGATGGATGCAAATATGTGGTCCATCTAAGAACAATTGAAACTAATGGTCCAAATGTTTTCTTAATAGAATTATTATTTCTAGTTAATTTTATTTATTTATTTTTTAACAAAAAAATATTGCCTAAAAAAATAGCATTCCAAACTTGCATCGGAACCATTTGATTTTTAAAGGGAATGGCCTATAAGTTTATGAACTTAGAATCCAGATTTTTTTATTTGAAAATGCTCATCTAGTCAATTAGATGAATCTCAAAATTTCAAATAAAAAAAAGGCCTCAAGCTAGTGTTTTGCTTGATGGAGTAAATGCATAATATGCGGGAGCATAGTGCATGCGCCCAGCAGTTTTTTTATCTCTAAATGGATTTTTTATTTTTAAATTGATCATGGACATGATGAAAACTGATTCGAGCTTTGGGGCCTGAGAAATTTCCCTAGCTTCTTGGTGGATCACCCATCAAAATTTTTTTTTTTTCCTTTTTTTTTTTTGAGTGAGTCGGTGGGGATAATGAGCCCCTATCCGGTTTTGAAATAGTCAATTTTTTAATCCATTAATAAAAATGGAGGTCAAGACTTTTAACAAGGATTCAGGTGGTACAACCATTCTCATGCTGGAGAATTGGTCAGTTGGAACCCGCATCGCCTATCCGAATATGTCTTAACAGGTGATGATCCGACCTCCCAATCTAGGTTTTAAAACACCATAGCAAACTATTGAAAAGTAAACATTTTCCTATATTTATACCCTTCTAATTTGCCAAATACTTTTCAGTTTTCTCTTTTTACCTTCTTGATTTTTTTTTTTTTTTTTCAATTAGTGAGGCCGGATCCCATATTGATGCGTTTTCATCTCCACCGTGAGGTTCACACCATGGACAACACTAGTTAGTCCACGGATTAGATAAAAACCGTATTTTGGCAGAAGTAAAGGCCAATCTCTATCATCGTAGTAGGTACCAATGGTATAGATTTTGACTTCTATGAGATCATTGAGATGAGTTCCCCACAAATGTTTCCCAAAACATTTCTCAAAATTTGGGTTGAAAAGTCAAAATAATTTTAAGTTCTTTTGACTATTGCGCCATCCGTCGTCCGATTCTTATAAAGGACAATCGCAATTAGCCACATTTACACCCAAAGCACATTGAGAAGTTCATAATTTTGGTGTGATTAGATAGGTGGTGTAGTTTCTATAAAATGTTTGCCCTAAACAATCAAAATAACGCACACCTCTACACTGGAAGATGTAGTATGAGTGAAAAAAAAAACAAAACCTTATGGTTGCTTTCAAAATCTATTTTCACCCTTAATTATAAATTTGAAGCTAAAAAAAAAACATATAGATCGAACATATCTACTAACACTCGAAAATCTTGAAATTGAAGGGTTCATATGGAACGTGTTATGGGATGTACTATTAGGGTTCATGTGAAACGTGCTATGGGATGTACTATTGTCAAGACCTAAAATATATATATTTTTCATATCTATATATCTTGAGGTCATGATGATCAATTGTTTTTGGGGGCTGGAGCAACTTTTTTGATGGGTGATGTGTACTTTACACCTTAAATAAACTTTTTGCTTCGATAAATGACACAATTTCTATAAGACCTAGGTTTTATGAAAACAAAATAAAGTCTTATCTAAAATCCTCATCCGAAAAGTACTTTGAGCATAACAAATCTCCATGATGGCTCTAAAATCAATTTCTAACGCCGATTATAAAATTTGAAGCTAAAAAAATAGCACAGATCCATGAATGCTTATTTTAAGGTGAAATTGTACATAATACTATTTTTTTAAGACAAAATTTTAATTTTTTTTCACTTACAACGGTTAAAGCTAAGGTATGATTTGAAGGTTTTCGCTCTACAAGATAGAAAAGTACAAATAGCAAAAAGGAAAATTGTTTCATGTGGGTTGGACCGCATTTCTACAATATGCGGTCTAGAGGTATAAAGCATCCATTTTAAAGATGGATGCAAATAGGTGGTCCATCTAAACACCATTGGAACTAACGGTCCAAATGTTTTCCTATATAGTTATTATCTTCAGTTTTCAATTTTTTATATTTTTCAGATTCATGATCTCCATATTAAAAATTATATATTATCTAAAAATTAGGATCAAATTACATTTAAAAAATATATGTACTGCCAAGCCCGCATTTCTACAATATGCTGCATGAAAACCCCATAGCAAAAATTGTGGAAAAAGGAAACGAGATGGGCGTTTTAGTCTTTTGGTGAAACGAGCTAGCGCCGATCAAAACCCTAGCTCCGATCCCCTCAACTGCTTCGCTTTCATCGTTTCGGCGCGTCGTAAGGATTGAGTGGTGAGTTTCAGGGATTAGGGTCAGGATTCCTCTGTAACATTTCTTGAATCTCAATCTCTTTGTGAATTCGTAATGAATTTTGTATTAGTTATTTATTTGTTTCTCTTCACGGATGCTTCCACTTCTTGTTTTCTGTGGCTTTGAATGAGTTTGGCATGGTTTCTGTGAATTTGCTGCATTTTTGTTTTCTTTTCTGTGGCTTTGAATGAGTTTGGCATGGTTTCTATGAATTTTCTGCTTTTTTGTTTTCTTTGGTTTTCTATTCTATGATTAATGGTGAGTAGCTTTGGGTGCTTAAAGTTTGTATATTATAATCTGTGATTTTCATGAAAGCTTTTTTCATGTAGCTGATTAATGGCGAAGAGAAGGTTCTGTTGGCATTTCACGTATGCATTTGTAGTTTTGATGGGATTCCTTGTTTTTTTGTTGTGATCACTGAGGTAGTGTTTATGATGGAATGTAATGCTCTCTATCTCTCACCATCTCTCTATCTCTCTAGGGTACTGTATTTCTCCCTCATAGAGTCAGAATAACTAACCCTTGTAACTGTGAATATGATGAATAGAATGCTCCTTGCCAAAGAATGCTCCTTGCCAAAGAAACCGTCTTTCTCTCTCTAAGAAATTGCATCCAAAGCGAATGCAGTGGTACATATGATGGAATGGAGTGCAATGCTCTCTCTCAAGGAAACCATATATCTCTCTAAGAAGATGCATCCAAAATCAGTACAGTGTCGTCTCTGATGGAATGCGGTGGACCATTCTCACCCTTTCTCGCTATACACTTAACTTTATGCCTTGAAAGCACCAAATGGGCCAGCAGCAGTATGATCTCATTGTTTTATTAACTCATCCCACTCCTGGGGCCTCTGGATTTCTAGTTATTACTTACCATTATCAAATTTAAAATGTGTGTAATTATCCATGTAATGTGTCCCATACCTTGGCTTAGATTGTATGAATTAGCTCTTAAAGGTGGTTCTTAAATCTTGAACTAAATCATGAACTGCAATCTCTCCTAAGTGCCCCACAAAATATTAAATGCCTTGATTAGTGATTCCCCTTTTATGTGCTTCAGGGTTTTTCCTTTTTCTTTTGGTCCTTCAACTGAAAAATTGTATCTCTGAATCCGATGATGGTTGGAAAATCTTCAACTATTCTAGAACCTTGAAATTGCATGAGGCAAACTACTTGCGCCTTGCCTTCCTTGTAGGAATACATAATACAAGTGGTCAACAATCCCATATAGAATTGGAAACTACTTGCGCCTTGCCTTCACAAAATATCAAGGATTTATAGAATTGGAAACCATGATGCTGGGAATGTTTATTTTGGGAATTTGTGAATTATTTTGACCCACCCATCCAAAATAAGGACACTATCAAGTATATTTAAGTATATTGGAAACCTTGAGGACCTCAAGAAATACTAGGCTAGCTCAAATGAATCATTCCAAGGATCAGCCACAACCCTGCCCAACAATGCACCCCACCACCAATCATCCCCTTCTTTCCTGCTTATTCAATATTCTTGTATTTGTCCCCTTTCTCAAGATGATGTTCTCATACTGCAAAATTTATCTACACATTCTAGATCATTTGATAGAAATGTATTGCAGCCATGTTGCAATTGTTTTCATTTACTACCAAAGTGAAATCTTAGCTTCCCAAAAATAATTGAGAAAACGTAGTTCATTTCTGAGCAACCAAATGGGATTAATTTGAAATATAGACAGATAATCATAGTAATAAGTTTAGAATTTAGAAATGCAGTTTAGAAAAACTCATTATATTTGCAACTCCAAGTTAGGCTTATGTAGAAGGCAAACCTTCCATGGAGTACTAGTGATGATTTGAATGGATGTCTTATATTGTTGTGGTATTTTTCTTCTTTTGTGAAAGGAATTGAAATGAATTTACAGGATATGACCTGCATGGGAGTCATTTGAGCAGTGCATAAAATTTTTGCAAACCTGGAATTTAACTTCTCAAGTTATCAAAGAGAGTAACTAAAAAACTTAGGACTGTGTTATTTGGCCAATATTGATTAGACTTATGCAAACAATAAAATGTGTCTGAAACTCTTTCATCTTGGTTTGAAATATTTATTCTTTAAAATCTTAGGAAACCTTTTGATTGAATGGTCGTTTGTTTATGCTTCAGGACTCTGGAGGTATTTGGCGTGTGTGAAACAAGATCCCATTTAAGATGAAGTACAATCCAAGTAAGCCTTGCTTGCTTTCTTGATTTGTAAATTGTGTTGATAATTTGATGAATGTTTGTTTATGCTAATGGTGTCTTTATTGGAATTTGCAGGAGCAACAAGCTCCAGGAGGAAGTGCCGGAAAGCGCACTTCAAGGCTCCTTCAAGTGTTCGCCGCATTCTAATGAGTGCCCCCCTTTCTCCTGAACTTCGCAATAAATACAATGTATGTGCTATTGCAATATTTGTTTTTTATTGGTGATTCTTAAATAAATTCAACATGTGGTGTTATAAGCTAAAGAACATGCGATGTCGCAACAGTGACTGTGTACGCATGCGCATAGTTATCTGTATATGTGCTTGCTTACAAAAGCATTTATCATGAAGTTGACTTTTTACTTCTGTTGTTGAATTCATTTTCTTGGCCTTTCTCATTTGTGTATGGATTAGTAGTTATGAAAATTTACTCACTTTGTTGGCTTTCGTTGTTGTGTTGCCTACAGGTTCGATCTGTTCCTGTTAGGAAAGATGATGAGGTGCAAGTTGTCAGGGGGACTTTTAAAGGAAGAGAGGGTAAGATTGTTCTAGTTTACAGGATAAAATGGGTTATTCACATTGAGCGCATCACTAGGGAGAAGGTTAATGGTAAGTTTAACCATCTTTGTTGACATAGCCTCCTTTGGTGCTTATTTTCTTTTGATGATTCAAATCCATATTTTTTTGGGATCAAATCAAACTCCCAGACAGAAAGACCTTTCTACTCTCCCTATCTCATATTATCTCATATTCTTACCTAATTTCTTTTGGGATCAAATTTCTTGCTCACAACGTTTTTTGTCAAGGAACAAAAATGGGACATGTATAAAAACTCACTTAACTTATCAAGTATTAACATTTTACGCTTTTTTAACTATTCCAATTTGAAATCAAGTGTAATTTGTTGGGTAGTTTGAAATTGATTCAAATGATACGGTAGAAATTTAAATAACTAGGTCATCTCCTAGGCATGTTTTGATAAATTTCTCCCAAAAACTTTTTATCTCATAGATGTATTTTGATAAATTTCCCAAAAAATATTCATCTACAATTAAACCTGAATGCTCCAGAATCCAGATTTAAGTACCTTTTTGTTTCACTTGATGTGTCAATGAGGATAGAGTGGTTCTGACTTCCAACCATTAGAATAAGATGCACAAAACATGTTGCCATAGATCAGAATCTTGTTTCTAGGTTCTTGTCCTATAAGAGATTGATTGAGTTTCGATGATGGTCAAGTTATATATTATACTATTTTATATCGGTCTGCTATTTCTCTAAAAAAAATCTCTGGTATATCTTTTCTTTGCATATTTAGTGGAACATGCAGCCATGTTTAGCTGAACGTGGCTGCATACGTTGTCACCTAATATATGCTGTTGATGAATGCTGAGTGTGTGCAGGCAACCATGTACATGCTGGGAACATTATCTGAATTTATATTGCATACATTTCTAGATATGCACCACTTATGTGCTGACTTTTCAAGTCATGGACTCCTTTTTTTTTCTTTCTTGAGCTTTACTTGTAACATATTTCCCTTTGATCTATACCATAGTTACGGAAACCGTGTGGGGAAGGTCATGATCCCACCTTGGGATCTTGATCCTGCGGTTCCTGTAAGGGATCTTGTGAGGAGCTGGATTCATGGAATTTGGGATCTCGCTCCCAAAAAAATGGGATCTCGATCTATATGCTGATGAAATCCATTTGCATTTTGAAATGGATCCACGCTTCCAAGTGACATGGTCCCAAGTTTTTGTTACATTGCATTTTTGGGTTCTATTTTTGTAGGAACTAGTTGCAAGGAGCTTTTACACACGTGCTTTTTAACCCGTCTTTTGGGACTCCTTGGGAAATTTACATGAGGTGCTTTAATACATGTATTGAGATGTCTTTTGACCTGTTTTGTTTTTGTGAGTGCCAAATCTCACTTTTTTAATTTTTTTGGATGTATCAGTGGAGATTTGGGCCCCTACCCTTTGGTGAGAATGGAGTCTGAGACTTTGTTCATGGGGCTCGATGGTACTACCACGAAGGTTGCAGCCTATTCTCAATGCCAAATCTCACTCTATATTGCGTGTTTCAGGTTCAACGGTCAATGTTGGAATTCACCCATCAAAGGTGATGGTGACAAAATTGAAGCTTGATAAGGACCGGAAAGCTCTCTTAGAGAGGAAAGGAAAGGGCAGGGCTGCAGAGAAGGGCAAGGGCAAATTCACCGCTGAGGATGTTGCCACTTCTCTCCAGGGTGTTGATTAGGTTCATTCGATTACCTTTATCCTTTTTCTCCCAATTTATCCTAGTGCTTTCCAGGATTGCCTTGAGGGCTCTCTGGCCGCCTTAAGATTATAGTGAGAAAATAAGGGTGTCGTGTTTATTTTTTGGTTTCACCTTCAAATTGTGATAGCCACTCATTCTTGAAGTGGTTATGTGGTAAGATGGTACTTTTTCTGCAAGAGTTGAAGATTTAAGTTCCCTTTTTGGTAGTGGTCTGGCCTTTTTTATGGGTTCAACCATTTGGCTTAGTGTTTACAGCACAAAAGCCACACTTGTTTCTTGCTTTGGAATCCCTCATTCCCTTGCCCACTCAAATTGTTTGTTTTTAATGGCCTGTTAATGCGGATTTTTTTTCATTTTAGGTTCATGGTTTGCTTACACTACGTTTTGGAGAGATATTGAGTCCTGGGGTTTCATAAGCTTAGCTAAGATGAATATAATTTGTGATTTGCACCTCTGCATATCAGATAGTGGGGATCATCCTTATCAATGATCTAACGGTGCATGGTGTCCTATCACAATGACTTGGTGTGCTGCGATATTTAATACATAGAGCTTTTCTGATAGTTGCAAGAAAACCTTATTTGAGAGAGACTGTTTTGAAGGGAAAGATTTGGTGATATTTGAAAGAAAACCTTATTTTAGAGAACTATTTTTAAGGGAAAGATTTGGTGATTTCCCTGGACTACAGTCAACTTGGGTTCTGCCTGCTCAAAAGCGTGCTCAGGGGATTTCTTTGATGGCTCGAATATTTTGATGAGATTTTAACTCATCCCTAAGATTGATTTTTGAAGGAAATAAGTAGGAGCTTATTCCTCTAGAATTCCCAAAGATTGATTCTGGACCTTTTACTAAGATCTAGGGTTTCAGGGGTCAATATCGTATGTATATGATAGCGTGCCATTGTGGTCTGATGCGAGTGCCATGGTAGCCCAATGTGATCACCCTAGCGGTGGACTATTTAAAAAGTACTTCAATATGAATTGGGGAATGATCCTGTGGGAACGGCTACAGGACTCATATGTAACTCAAATATCTTACATATTCATTTTCTTATGTATATTATGAACATAAAATAGCACTAGAAAACCATAATTCCAAAGTCATGGTAGGCTTTGAAGCTGGTTCTTGCTTTCAACCTAGCTTTACAAGTAACTTTAAATTTTTCATTCCTTATCGATTTACGTATATTAATCCGTAAGCGATCAATTTAGGTATATTAACCCATAAGTAAGAATAAGGATATATGATGTTTGTATAGATTAGCTTTTTTATTCTCTATTTTTTTGGGTAGTTCAGTAGGGCTGGGATTCTTACTCATGATAGGAATAGAATTCAAGAAGTCATGTTGTGGCGTTTTGCTTATCCTAACCACCTATCATTGAGCATAGTTATGACTTGGATTATGGCTAGCAAGGGTAAGATACCTATTAAGGGGGCCAACAATTTGAATTTTCATCTCATTCTATAATAAATGTTTTTATTGATAATGTCACCCAACAAATCCATGGGATGAATGTAGCTGATACGAGGATAATAGAAAACTTGGGAATAAGCTCAAGGTGGTCAAGGTGGTAGGTGCTACACTCAAGGCCTAGGTAGTTAGGGGGGTAGGTGTTACAACATGATGGGTAGGCGATCCTTTTTTGGCTGAACTGTCAAAAAAAAAACAAAAAAACGAAAAAAAAAAGAAGAAGAGATTTATCTTTAATCTACATTACAAGATTCTTAGAACGTGTGTAAGTGTTATTCAATAAAGGCCCTTGTTTTTGTTTGATTCAACCACAGTCCTTAACGAAAAAACTCCCTTCAAGCTAGGGTCCCTAATAGGAAACCATGTCTTCTTCTCGGTATATCTCTTTAGGTTTCTTTGCATGCATGTTGTGAAAATAACTTTTTAATTTTTTGAATTTATAAGTTCTTATTTTCAAGTTAAAATAAGTACATCTTAATTTTTTAAAATTTCTAGTTTTTGTTGTGAAACAATTATTTTTTTGTTATTTTAGAATATAAATCTAAAATAAATATTCGAAAAGCAACCATACAATCCTACAATTAAAGTTGGATGCAGTTTGTATAAGGCCTAGGCTATGTGAAGAAAGTAAAGTCACACCTCAAAATCCTGTCAGAAAAACAAACTATATAATTTTAAGTTCCAAAAATAGTGTAAATCTGACGGATATGTGATCACTTGAAAATGGATGGTCTAGGTAATATGTTATATGATGCCTTGTTCTTAGATCTTGAAGTTCTTTTAGAGCCATAATTACAGCGGTCAAGATGATAAATCAAAGGAATGTTTTGATACCAAAACTGCAATTCACGGTGAGATGTTGTGCTAACATTTTTTCATTGAAGTTTTACTTGTGATGAATTTACGCTCTCAAGGCTTAAGGATTCTTAAAATTTGGTAATAGGATACTTTTATTTAATAATTTTCAATTATGAATTATTTTATTACTCGATAATAAGTTATTTTTAGTTTCAAATTCATATTTCTTTGTTACGCTTTTGCGACACATGTTGTGGACTGCCAAATACATTTATTTTTCCAAACTTGGTAATGTTTATTCTCTTTATTTTGAGAATTTTGTTTCAAAAGAAACAAAAAATTTTAATGCATTTTTACAAATTCATTTGGTTGGACAAAATTCTTCTACAAATTCTGATAAGTGACCAAAAGAAAGTGTTTTTAAGAAATTTACTCTTATTCCCCCCTAAAGAGCGTTATTATAAATATTCTATGAGTTTTTTCTTGGTTATCTTCATACTACTTTTTAGCCCCTTTTCTATTTTTTTCCAAAATGCCCCAAGGTATCAAGTGAGAAGACAAATTCATAGCTCTAGATTTCGATGATCCAAAATTAAGACTTAGATTGATGATGATGCAGATCTTCAAGATCTTTCCTACTTAAAAAAGAATTGAGAAAGGGTTGACTTTCGACTTTGAAACCATTAGGATTTGTCCAAATAATTTTGGACCTTAAAGATTTGAAGTCATTTCCACAAATTTTGAACAAGATATGAAATTATAGTAAAAATTGTTTGGATTGAAGAACCAAAGATTATTCTTTTTACTGCCCAAACTACATCGTCGTCAATTCGGAGCTTGACGGTCTGAAGTGGGGGCCATTTGGAAAAAGTACAAAATTTGAGAGGAGCTTTTATGAAGATGTTACTTACTTTGGGGGCACACGACCGTAATTATTTTTTCTTTTCTTTTTCAAAGATTTACATAGGTTTTTGCCCACGAAGCATTCACGTATTTCTCACACCTCTATAAGTAGAAATAAAAATAACGTTTAGAGTAGAAAGGGCTTTATAAACTACTACAATACGCCTACAACCACAAGAAAAACCTTAATTTTTTTTTAAGAAAGGGGCTGGGATGTGGTGGTAACTTCCCACACGTTAGTCATCATGTTGTGGTTTTCATTCCTACTATTGGCACTTCTCACAAGAGTTCTTTTGCCTTGATTGATAGTTCATCGAATGGGTGGTAATTAAAAGATATTGTTGCATACCTCCACACTCTAGCCGGTTAGGGTTATCATGAGAAGTTATTTTGCTCTCATAGCTCGAAGTGTCTGGTGGCAGATTTTAGTGGTTATAAATGAGAAAAGTTAAATAATGAACATTTAAAAGATAATGTCATATGGAATTGTTAGAAAAAACAAAAACACCAAGAAATTTGTCAAAATACAATTTTAGAAGTGAGAAATTCATCATAAGGTGCCAGCATTCTTGTAGATGAAGGTTACAAATGAGAAAAGTTAAATAATGAACATTTAAAAGATAATGTCATATGGAATTGTTAGAAAAAACAAAAACACCAAGAAATTTGTCAAAATACAATTTTAGAAGTGAGAAATTCCTCATAAGGTGCCAGCATTCTTGTAGATGAAGGTTAGGTTCTCACAATGGATAATATTAAGAAAAGGGGAGTATTATGGTTAGCATTTGTTTATTATGTAAGGAGGATAAAAAAAATGATGATCACTTATTTCTACATGGCTCATTTATCTATCGAATTTTGATTTGGGTATTTTAGAAGTTGGGAATTTCGATATTGTTACTGAGAAGACAAGGATATTTTGGAGCAATTGAATCTTGATGATTACTGAAGGCTGGGAAGATAGTTTGGAAGATATTTCGCAGCGACGTTGTGGAAAATTTGGTTGGAAAGAAATATGAGAACTTTCGAAAAGGCTATATTGAAATGCATAAATCCTAAAAAAACATAATTTACATACTCTTTGGAACTTGGTTTCAGTTATTAAAGAATGGATGGGGATTTCTAACATTGATGTAGCTCTTACTTTGGTAAATTTGATCAATTAGAGTTGTATTAAGTTGAGGCCTAAATGAAGGTGGGAAGCTCCAATATATGGATGTGTAAAATTTAATTTTGATGGGAGTTTTTGGGAAACCAGGGATCGGCTGGTATTGGTCGAGTGGTAAGAAACTATGAAGGTGGCGTGATCTTTTGTTTTGCTAGTCCGTGTGGATGCGCTGCAACTAATCAGGCGAAGCTTAGTGCTCTATTACAAGGACTTATGCTTGTACGTACAAGAAATGCAAATTGGAGGATTTTTTACATGGGTGCAGTTTGCATACGGATGCATCCGTAGGTGTAGGAGGTAAGGTGCACCTTCAAATTTTATAATGGTATATAATTTTGATGAATAATGTTCTTAGGATTATCTCAAAATCTATTTCTATATCTAATTATAAAATTTTAAATTTAAAAAATGGTTAAAATCTAGTAGATCTATAAACATATGAAATATTGAAATGGATGGT